TTTATCTTTTTTTGTTGTTCTTTGGTTTTTATATTTTGTAAAGGTCAGTCGAAAAAATTAACTTTAGGTTTATATTGTTTAACCTAAAGGAGAAAAGAAATCAAGTCCAAAAAAGGAAAGGATAAAAGCAAAAAAAATTGCGAAGAGTCATCACATAAAAAATCCAGATTATCTTCTGCAGAAGAGGCCTCTAAGAAAAAGGATAAAGGTAAAAGGAAGTTAAGATATGGTATCTACTCACATTTCCAAATATGAATTATTACCTGCCATATCTCAAATATATGGTGAATGCATTTAGAATTTTGTTTTATGGTAGTTCAAAGGAAACCGGCTAAGAATTTAGGTATGAATTTACAGTGACAAGAATTTTAAGAACTGGGTTGGTTTTGATTCATTTTGGTAGATAGTATAATACCACAAACAGCATTCTCATTCCTGGCTTTGTCACCTACAGACTTGTTACCTTGGACAAGTCACTGAACTTGAGTTTTATTTTTCTCATGTGTGTAGGAGTGATGTGAATATCTGACCTCTGTACTGGTCTAGTTTATTATGGAGGATCAAATAAGAACATGAAAGACACTTTGAATATTGTAAAATAGTCTATAGTCTGTAAGTCAGTGTAAAATTATAGCACTGTGATTTTGGTTATAATGGTCTGTGTGATCTTTTTTTAAACTAGTTTATGAGCTTCTTGAAATGAGAGAGCTCAGCATATATCTGTATCCTCTGCACCTGGCATTGTGCTGTGCACATATACTCAGTAAATAATTATTAAATTCAAATCTGTCAGTCAACTGCTTACTTTTTCCTCAACAGTCCTTAAGCTCTCTAAGCCTCAATTTCTTGATGGGTGAAATGGTCATGATTATAGTACCTACCTTAAAGGATTGTTCAGAAGTTGAAATGAGATAATTCATTAAGAGTTTACATAGTATCTGGCACATAATTAGCTATTAATATTAAGAAGGTTACTTCTAGTTGCTTTTTCAGCCCATAACAAAGTAGAGTCAAATTGGCTTCAATTTATAGTGAATCAGACTTAAACGAGGTACATAATTGAATTAGATTCAAGCCAGTGTTATATGATAGTTGGACAGGAGAGGGCTCTCTTGTTCCAGCTATGAATATCATTAGTTATGTTGCATTCTTACATTCATTTTTTCCTTTTTGTATATCATGATATGTATTCATTATGTAGATAGAGTTAAAATAATTCAAGTATGTAGCATCACCAAGTTATAGACTTGGTAAAATTGATAGATGATGAGAGGAAGATAGTGTTATTCTGTTGTTTATTGAGAAATGGCATTTGAAGCAGAATGCCTTTTTCATCTCTATCTTAATCATTTCCTACTCTAAAGTAAATTTTAACTAGTAAATATGAAAATCTCATATGAGTTTTTAAGTTTTATTTATCCTTATATGCTAGTAAAATATTTAATGTATCATTTGGGAATTTTGTTGTATTCATTATCGTATTATATAATGATATATTCGTATCATAACTATGATACCATGTTAATCACTGCACATTCCAAGTTAAAGAAGAACTAATCTTTACTTTGTAGAAGGTTATTCAGTACCTTTAAACCAGAGGATTAGGTAGCTGAATACTCAGGATCAGTGTCGGGGTTGGACCTTTCAGATTATATATGTACATACATGTGATCTTCCTTATAGATATTTTTCTTTAGTGTTCCATATTTCAGTAGATGACACCTATGTCAACCTAAAAACTAATACTAGAAATCTGGGAATTATCCTTGATATTTTCTTTTCCCTCATTATTTATGTTTGTCACCAAATCCTAACAGTTTCATCCCCGGAGTATATATTTCAAGTTCTCTGCACCCTACTACAAACCCCTATATTTTCTCAAACAGACTACTGCTATATTCTCCTTACTGGTTCCCCTACTGTCTAACCATCCCACCTCTCCTCCCCTTAATTCATTCTCCGTAAACCAATGGTTTCCTATTGTCCTTAGGATGACAACCAAAATCCTGGACCAAAGCCAAAAGGCCGCTCTATGTAATCT